CGTTTCATAAATTCGTACCTATGTTTTATTGGGCTAGAACATAACTTATAATTATCACTTACCTAATATTTACAAATACTTACATAATCAAATTAATAACTTAAGTACAATAACGCATAGCCGTCAATTTTACGCTTGGCATAATGGGCATTGAGGGATAAGCGCGCTCTATACCTTGCTTATTTGTACTCTAAGTTCTGAATACTCTTTATCTATTGTTCTAAGGGGCCCCTACTAATTATTATATACTCTTTGGAGGGGTTTATAACTTTGACAAGTAATGATCCAATGACACAAGCACGTTCACTTTACGTAAACTTCAAGAGAAGAAAAAAAAGAGAAAAAACATGGCTGACTTTAAGTACAGTCATTAAAGTACTTTTTAATCCTAAGCCAATTTGCAATCCCCGCTTCGCACGTTAGTATCGAATGTACAGTTTGCATTATTTAATTATATGTTATTTTAATTAAATAACTTTTTTAGGTCTCCGTGGCTAATTAAGTACATAAACTTGAAACGACTTGGGGCAGAAATGAGCCGTCTCCTTTGTTACATTGATTTTCAAATAATAAACAGACAGGTAAGTTTACAGATCAATCAGTTTCATGTATTATAAAAGTAATTACCAAAGTCGTCGTGTCTGATTTCGACTGGATTCCTTGGAGATCTAACAATATTACCAATATCACGCAGTGCTGGGTTGTTGGGAATATCGTTCCTCCATAACCCTGGTATTATTAAGTCGTCTGCATCATACAAGTTAAATGTACCAAGTGGATTATATACAGTTCTAGACAGTAAACTTCTCAAAAAATTGTGTAGAGCTACACACGCCAAGACTACTTGGCTTGGTGATTCTGGTTCAAGTAGCATATGCCAACGTAGCGCTCTAAATACAACAGACATATTAACACCAAATACATTTTCAAAGATTATACGGGCTGGTGAGAGCTTCTTGTTGAAAATTATTTCTTTGGTGCCTCCTCGATGATCCCCTAGATATGGTTTCTTGATATTGTTATGTAAGGCAAATGCTCCATCACCCAATAATACAAATGATAGGTCAGCATTTCCATTTTGTAGTGGAATTGGTGCTGGTAGTCCCGACATATTACTCTTTATTTTATTCCATAGAAGGGAGTTTTTCAAAACACCTCCATCACTTATCCTCCTTTGACATCCCACGTCGGCATACATAAAGCAGTAATTACTATCAACTAGGGCTAATAAAGCGATGCTAAAATATTTTTTGTAGTTGTAATATTCTGAGCCACTCTTAACTGGAGACTGTCATCTAAAACACACGTGTATCACTACACGTGTGTTTTCCATCTATCGCACCTATGCAGTGCGAGAAACGCTGATAGACGCTACCATCTATGTAAAGCCAGTCTTGTTCTACCACGGGCAACTGTAACAAAAATATTAATGTTATTTGTACTTGCAGGATGACGGACATACGATTAATGAAGATCAAAACACAGAACAGGGCTCTATAGATCAAAATACCAGAAGCCAAGAAAACCAGGAATCAAATTCAAATGAACAACAGGGTTCAAATGCAAGACCAATATTATATAGAAGAAGACAAAATAATCCATCTGAACTTATACAAGCGAAAAAACGAATGGATGAAGCATAGAGTTTTATGAAGCATCATTCCCAGCTGCAGCTAAAGGATAAAGATGATGAATGGTCTACTTTTGGAGTACTGAAAGCTACGAAAACTTTCGGAAGAACGGCGAGACATCATGAAGGCAAAAATACATCAGCTATTTGTCGATAAACACGTCTACAATTTCAGTTTGCCGAATCACTCTTCCAGTCGCCCAAATTCTGTTGCAACAATGCTATCATATACACCATCACCAGTCCAAATCAATATCGCATCTCCGCCAGCGATTGCAACTTCGCCAAAGGTTTCATTTCCGACAAATATGGCATCTCTTAATTCGGCTACCTGTCAACCAAATTCTCATGTTGAATCCTACTTGTAGAATGGTGTCGTATACACGATCACAATCGCAAATAATTCGAGGGAATCATACAGTCACATCACCGACAGCAGGCCAAAGGTCAAAGGCCTCACACTATAACGAGGAATACTGTTTCTGAGAGTACACCTGATGTACTAAAAGATTTTATTATAATGAGATGGAAATAATTAATAGTATCTTTAATACTTAACGACTTTATATTTAATACCTACTTAAAAATACTTTTATGACGATTAATAAAAGTTAATAAAAATTATATATGGTGGTATCTTGATTTTATCTTTAGAACCTAATATAAAGCAGCACACTTTCATTATAATTCTTGAGAATTATAATGAAAGTGTACTGATATCTTGAAGATATGGCAAAGGCTTCTATAACTGTCTCCTGATGCAAGAAATCGCAAAATAATCGCTAATCTAACTTTTCCAGGTATAGCTTCTCTCCATTTTGTATCCTTTTTAGAAATTATGGGATAGACTTTTTGTAACAAAAAATTAAAACCTGCATAAGACAATCGGCAGAAATTATCAAACTCGTTAGAGGGTTCCACTAACATTTCATGAAACCTTGTCTCCATAGATTCCCCGGAAAAATAAATAACTTTTATTATGTAGATACTTATTGGATTTAGGTTCTTATTTCAGTGGAATTTTCGTTAATATGTTTAGCGTGTCATGCAGAAGTCGTTCTACAGATGAAATAAATTAATTACGTGGTTCGATTTTTGTGCACAATCAGCATCCACCATCGCCTTGCTGTTGGTCGTTTTTTCATCGCTTTGTATTTTTTTACGCATAACATATAATAGTAACATGCTTTCAAATAATAAAATTCAGCTGCAAGTGCAACGTCCATTTTCTAAATACAACTACTTTCTGCTAGCAAATATGTTTAATTTTCTGGTATTTGGTTCCATGTGTAGACGGTTGTATCGCCTGATTGCCGGTACGTAGAATATTTTGCTAAATACGGCCAACATGTAATCACAAATACAAATAGCCATATGTTAAGCCATCATTACAGTAATAGCAAGCCTTTCCGCAGGAGTGACGCGTTTTCTCAGTTGTGTATCTTCATGTTTCAATTTATCATGTAGTATGGAAAGTAACTCATTAAATGAATTCACGCTCATCCTATATATAAGTATTTGAATTTTTTTCGTGGTGCATTTTGAGCTCATCAAAAAGCCGAGAAAACTGCGCATGTTCTTGGCGAGAGGTTAGTATTGGATGGACCCAATAACGGCGATGGATTCGTCGTACTCTGCGTCTTCGCATTCGCAAGATAAGCACCTAGGCAAGTGCAACAAGAGGCTCCATATTCACTCACAAGAGGAACAACACGGCCGTCTCTGTCAATTACACTACTACTAATGATCGCTTCCTGCACGACGAAGACTTTTTTCGTAACCAATTGTGTAGTGAGCAAGATGCATAGACAATATGATCCGCAGTATCTAACTTAGTTGAAATAGCTTTTTCGAAAGTTTTAAATTGACTTACTAATATTCCAAAAGCATTTTCGACAATGCGTCTAGCACACATTTTGTTCAAAACTTAAACTGGCCCCAGGATATGGTTTCATTAAGGATATTTTTAGAGGAAATGCTGCATCAGCCACAATCACTCAATCTTGTGGAATAAAACAGCCATTTTCTAATTCAGTATAGATGGAACAGTTTTTGAAAATGTCACCATCCGAAGCGCTCCCATTTGCTCCCACATACATGTACGTAAAACAGTAATCATGGTCAACAAGAGCCATTAATACGATGTATTGTTTTCTTTTTTATGATTAATATTCGAACTTCCATATTCATAGGACCCCGTAATTTTTATGTTTTCCGTCTAGCGCAACAAAAAGGAAAGATTCACTTCTTCCGAAAGCCTTCCACGACTTATTCCCATTGTTGCCTAATGGGTATCTGTAAAAATGAAGTTTAAATATTTTATTTTCAGGAAAATAAAGAAAATACTGACCATGCTCAACCTAGTGACCAATCTGGGAATCCTACCCATACAAACCCAGAAACAAATCTATCAGAACCGCGGGGGAAAAAGGAGTTAAATTTCACAGCTGTCTACAATAGTCAGTAGCAAGAAAGACCTGCAATACGACTACTTGCGATACGATCCAAGCCAGAAACAGGGAAGATGAATTCGACGTGTTTGGGAAACGCGCTGCAAAGAAATAAGGACTCTTTCTACAGAAGAGGCTACCCTAGGCCATGGAGAAATTCAGAGTGTGGTAACAGAATGTCGACTACGCGATTTGAAATACAGAAATAAAGTGTGTTGTTTTAGAGGTATAGAACTTTAAGTTGGCAACACTTTTTTAACTGGCGGCCATTTTGTCAGCTGTCAAGTGATTTATGTTTAGTTTGGTTTGGCATTTTAACATGAATAGACTGACGCCTGAACAACGTATGGTTCTGTTCGAAATACGTATCGCGCATTACGTCCATTTTACGGTCAACATAATCGTCCATCAGAGCAATTAATTCGATTAACTATGGGACGTTTTCGCGCCAAGTTTACTCTAAGGCCTTATCCAGAAAGGGCGAATTCGCCGCGAATCGTATCGCGCGAATTCATACGTGCGTTGTCGAGGTACTAGACATTAAAACATCGCGTCCACAAGCATCGCGCGAATTCAAAATACTCACTCTCGACACGCGCTTTATTCGCGCGTATTGCGCGCGAGTCGAGATACTAGGGACGCCTTGTTGCGTCCAGTTAACGCGCGAACTCTAGAGCGAGTGCACGTATCGAGGGAAATGGAGCGCCAAAATTTTGACACTGAATTGTTTATAGACGAATTAGAAAAAAGACCGGCAATATGGGATTTGGAATCACCTGATTATGCCAATAGGATTTTAAAACGTAGGTCTTGGGAAGAATTGGTGTTAATATTTTCTGATAATGAAGACTCCGAGGAAAAAAGAAAGATTTAGGTAAGTAATTATTGTTATTTTATTGATTAGTAACAAACAAAGAAAATTAGATCATTTTGTCTTGCCACGGCAGTCGACCTTCCTTCATGAAATAATCAGCGAATATATCCCTCGTGTTTCGAGACCTTACACCAGGTCGAATTGTAGTCGTACTCAGACCATCTAGAGCTGTTTCGAACAATATGTCTTCGTATCTGTATCCATCTCTTAACCTGACGTAATTGTAAAGAACACAACAAGCTTTAATTATGTTTTGCGCAAATTCAATATGTACATTGAGTGGTTTGTGAAATATTCGCCATTTGTTTACCAGGATTCCAAAATAACACTCAATATAACGTCTTGCTCTAGAGAGGCGGTAATTAAATATTCGTTTTTCTTTGGTTATATTCTTGCCGCAATATGGTCGCATAATATTTTCTGATAAGCTAAATGCCTCATCTCCAACTATAACATGAGGTAAACGTGTCGTACGAATTTCTGATACTGGTTTTGGTCCCGGAATGTTCAAAGATTTTTCCGTGAGTTTTTTGAAGAATGTGGAGTTTTTAAAAATCGTTGAATCATTGCTCTTCCCACATGCTCCAACATCTATACAGATAAAACAATAATTTGCATTACATACGGCAAGCAGCACAGTCGAAAAAAAATGTTTATAATTGTAGAACATAGAGCCGGAATCTAAAGGTTTTATAATTCTAATATGTTTGCCATCAACTGCTCCAATGCAATTAGGAAAATTTGTATATTTTTCGAATCCTCTTGCAATTTCCATCCACTCTTCTGTCGAAGGTTCTTTCATTATTCTGTCATTTAACTTATTCCAAATAACATATACAGTTTTTGAACGATGTCAATTACATTTGATTTCCCTAATCTATAGGCATATTGTAAGTTAAATGTTAAAGTGTAAATAAACATATGTTCGAGTGTTTCAAAAATTGATGGAGTTGAAACCCACTTTAAATCCAATAAGCTGCTTATCCGACTTCGAGAAAGCGATCCAAAATGCAGTTTGCCAGGTATTTCATGGTGTTCAGGTGATGGGTTGTTTATTCCACTTAGGGCAGTGTTTATGGAGGAAAATCCAAGAGCTATATCTTGTAGAAGAATGACGAAAATGTGAGAATGCATTTGAAAATGTTACTAGCGTTATCTTTTGTCCAAGAGGGCGACGTAATCACTGCTTTTGAGGAGCTAACCGAAAGCTGTCCACGAGAAATTGATGCAGTCATCGATTACTGGGAAGATACTTATATAGGACGGCAAAGAAGAAATCGGAGAGCAGATCCAAAATTTCCTATTCATGTATGCAATGTTCATGATAGAGTGCACCAGGGCCTTCCGCGTACAAACAACTCTGTAGAAGGATGGCATCATGCTTTCCAACACACCGTTGACTGTCACCATCCATGTATTTTCAAATTAATAGACCACTTCAGGAAGGAACAAGACCGGATAGAAATAGAGTTGGAACGTTTTCGAGCCGGCTTCAGAAATCCCGAAGCTTCCAAAAAGAAGTATGTGCAACTTAATCGTCGATTGGAAACTCTTATGGGAAATTATAACAACGACGACCTTTTACCGTATCTCCGTGGAATTTCCAACAATCTGACATTATAAATTGATATATTATTATATAACTTCATTTATTTTTATTTTATAATAATTATTAATAATTGTAACCTTTGTAATTAATAACCTTTGACGAATATAGTTTGTAGAATTTTGTTTGTAAATATACATTATAATATAATTTTATACCTACATTTATTTTTGTTTTTATTTCGTGTGTAGACGATGCAATAGTTTTGTTGAAAACAAAAAATACATAAAATGAACCAAAAAAAGTCACGTAAAGTATTAACATTCGTTTTACACCACTTACAATTTTAAATTTGATATCATTTGTAGAAAACATTATTCAGATACATTTGCAATAGTTGGAATGAACAAATTGTAAAGTATAAATTTTTATAAGGAATAATTTCTTGCTAAAACTCACAATAGAAAAGTTTCCCATATATCGCCAACTGAAGTAGATACACGGTATAAGTATAGTTATAAATTCTATAGATATGTATGGTATTTATTTTGACTTGGGCTGTTTTGTCGGGGGCTGTTTTGACGGTGGCTGTTTTGTCGGTGGGCTATTTTGTCGGGGGCTGTTTTGTCGGGGCTGTTTTGACGGGGCACCGTATGAAAATAAGAGCTGTGTTATTTCAAACTTGCAACAATTTTTTCACATGCTTACGGACTTGATTTTTAAAAATAAACTTGTTGAAAGCTTTTTTAATGTCAAGATGGATGTCATTCCAGAGTCTGATGGCCGTGAGGGCGAAAGATTGAGATAAATAACTAGTACGGTGTAAAGGAGTAAGCAACTTAAGATTAGCCGAAGAACGGAGAGAACGATTATGAGAATCTCTCAAGTATTGAAATTTGGATTTCAGATACTCGGGAGCACATGGATTGTTCAGAATTGTGAAAAGAGTGCAGAGTATTCTGACATATCTGCGCTGACGGATAGGCAGCCAATTTAGCTGAGCACGAAAAGAAGATACATGGTCGTATTTACGGAGACCATAAATGTATCTTATACAGTTGTTAAGTAGACGATCCAATGTATTAAGATGATGTTGAGACAGGTCTGAGCAACACACATCGACATAATCAATAAGTAACTGGACAAGTAAAATCTTAGTATTGGTGGGAAGAAAAAATTTTAATCGATATAGAGATCGCACAGTTCCAGTAGTTTTGCGACTCACCTCCTGTATATGTTTGTTCCATGTGAAGCAATCATCAACGTACAGACCAAGGTTCTTTACATGGGGAGAGAATGGTATAACATTATTTTTAAACATAATTGATGATTATGTAACTTTTCTGAAATTATTTAAAACAGTGGTTTCACAACCCACTGGAACGCACTTAATGACGATTCATTTCGCGTATGAAAAATCTTTGTATTCAAAGACTAATTATTTACGTTAAACAACGGAATGTCATTTGTCATCGACATGTTACATAATCTGTGGTCATCGATCGACGTCATTGATTGTCACCCGGCAACCGACAATCATTCGCATCATTTTACTTGCTTCACTCGTTGTTGTAGATTGTGATAAGTACTGTTTTAGATTTCCTTCTGTTGTTTTGTCCTCGGCATTGTTTTACGGACTGATAACTACCACTTGTAATAGATTGTCTAGAATATAGTGCTATATTATTTGCCCTAGGAACATACTCGTATCAGATTCGATAGGATCTTACTATAGTGAACATGTCAGGTTTCACGGAGGCATGAAATAAGCAGATAAAATATTAATGTAAGAGAGTATCGTTTGAGAGGAAGTGGAAATAACTCACTTATAAGAGGCAAAATCAAAACCACGCATATTTCGAGAAAAGTATATTATGTTTGCATATTAATTGAAAATTATGTGTCTGGAAGGGGAGCTATAATAGAGTATTGCTGTAATTGTTTAGTTGAGAAGAATGGTTGGGTGCTGTGCACATGTTATGATACTTGTGTGGTACCTCGGGTGGGCCAGGCATCAGCTGACAGTATCAGCGCCAGCAGCTTTCTTCGATGCTGTAGTTGTAAGAGAGGATGGTGAATAAAAAGTATTTTTATCAAGCCTATTTCTTTCATTTATGTACTCCCAAATTCTGCCATTATACTTCATTTACTATTGTAACCTACCATTACTCGATTTGTCATTACATAAGCAACTTAAGTATTGAAGACTGAAAGACAGTAGATATCTAGCGACTAACTCTCTTCAGCCAGAATAGAACTGGTGAAACCACAAAAAAGCCTTGAAGTCTTTCAGGAAAGATTTCACGTGTGATGATAATTATAATATCCTTATTTTGTACACTACACGCTGTGCAAGTTAGAGCAATATAGGTGTAGTTTTCATTGAATTGTCGGTCAAAATCTGTCGTCGAAGCGAGCCAAACACCACGAGACAGCTTTGACAGACAACACTTTTGGACATCTAAATCAAGAGTCTGGTGGAAAGACAAGGGGTGCGCTTTGTGAGATGTCCTATTTTTTATTTATCTGAGATAAATCGAAATAAATGGAAACGAGATTGCTAATTATCCTCCTTGCTTATCGCTTACTACAGTTTTATATACGTCGCAGTCAGATAAAAGGTAGTTGTTGATTTTAACCTCCAAAGTATTGTTGACGTTATTATAAAAAATTGTGGCCATTTAGATATGATTTTCAATCGAGATGGTGTTAACAACATAAAAACAAACCAATCCAGCTATAGTTTGTTTTGAGACATGAAAAATAAAAGTTAAGTCCAGCTCCTATAGAAATTTGGCCATTGTTCTTTCATACTCAAATGGCTGCAAATCGTTTGGTACCTTCATATGTGCTAAAGTATCCTGTAAGAGTAAAGCTGGAGGCAGTGGAGTTAAAATTTCACGACGACAAGGGACCTGTTTTTTTAAAAAGTAACTCTTAATATGATCCACATATATTACCTTATATATGCATATTCACAAGGATGGTCTTATAATCAAAAAATTCATGAAGATCCGTATAAACGACGGAGACAACAATGTTTAAGCCCTAACACAATATGTGATTGGTACAATTACTGTAGGGAGGTAGTTGTCATGTACTACCTCGAGAAACAAAATCAGTTTTCTGGAAAGATTGGTGGCCCAGGTAAAATTGTACAAATTGACGAGAGCAAACTTGGTAAACGAAAATAGAATAAAGGTAAATATAAGTATGATTATGTTTTCACCTTTTTTTTTTGTCATACTAAATGTATAAAATTAATTTTATTTGTTATAGGACATTACATCGAAGGGTGCGCGATATGATAGAAGATGGGTCCCAGCCCTTTTCGATTGTTGAAGACAGAGGATTTAAGAGGTTCACAGAAGTTTTGAACCCGAACTACAAATTACCAAGTACACAAAAAATCAGGTACGAATTAATGCTGCAACAGTACCAAAATGCAAAAGTAAAGCTTGCTATTGCGCTTGATAATATTAACCCTTTTTAATGAAGCGGCAACAACGGTTCCGTGGACATGTGCCTTTCGATAACTTTTTCGCATCCTATGAAATATTGCAATATCTATTCAATAATGGTATATACGCCACATCTACCGTGAACAGCAATAGATCACACCTGACAGACATAATAAAAACGGCGAAAAACAAGAATTTACCAAGAAACAAAAATATATCTTTGGTAAGAGGACAAAAGGCAAGAAACAAAACTTGTTACACTTCTGACCACTGCCTTCCTTCCAAAAATAAATAAAACATTCTGTGATCGAACTCAGAAAGATGGTTCTAAAAAGGCTATTCAATGTCAACTAACCATACTACATTATACAGAACGATGGGTGGAGTAGACCGCTTTGATCAGAAGCGGAGCACTTACGAAGTTGGCAGGAGGAGCAAGAGGTGGTGGCTCCGAATTTTCTATTTTCGTGTAGACTGGGCCATCACAAATTCATTTTTGCTCTACTCTACAAACAAGAGGGTACACAATGCACTTTCACAACTACATTTTAGGTTGTGTCTGGCCCGTGGTCTCATCAACAATTATTCGTCTAGGAAGAGAAGCCTGGAGAGCCATGTTTTGCGCATACGCTTATTTTAACTGTTAACCCTTTCACGCTCAAGGGAAATATTTTTCCCTTCTACAAAAATCGTTATCAATTGTTCAATTATTATTGAATCGATATTTTTTTTTTTACTGAATGTCAAAATAAAACGTATGTCCAAGGCGGCAAACGTGTTTCTGAACGAATAAAA